TTTTTCTTTTCTTGACTGTTGAGTGATATCAGTAACCCTCTTATTACCGCTTTGTAAGCATCCCATATCGTCTGTATATCGATATCCGGAGTCCTATTTATTTCAAAAAATTGAGTAGTTTCTTTCTTGATCACATCAATTGTCTCTTGCTTATCCAGTAGATCTTCATTTATTCATCTTGGTTTCCTCCATCCTTCTTTTGATATCCACAAAATCGGGTTGTGGTCCGAATTAGTTTTGGGTAGAATTTCCACCTTCTTAGTTTTTAATACCAACTCACTAGTCACCCATATCATATCAATTCTTGAAAAAGATTCATGTCTGTTTGAATAAAATGTAAATTCTTTCGTTGTGGGATTCCATTTTCGCCAAACATCTTCTAATTTCTCTTGCTTAACGAGTTCGAAAAATGCTTTTGGGAGTTTCCCTATTCTCTCATCTGGTTTCTTTGTGCTTCTGTCTAGTTTGTTGTTAATTGTGCCATTCAAGTCTACTAGAAGAACAATTTGTTCGTGAGTTACCTGGTCCAATTCCTGTATCAAGTCCTCAAAAAATTTCTCTTTAGCTCTATTTGGTGCATAAGTGTTAACAATCAGAGTCTTTTTTGGGTGCATGTTCATTTCAACTGCAATATATCTTCCTTCTTTATCTTTGAATATCTTCTTTGGTTCATATTCCTTTTTAATATATGTCACTGTCCCTTTCTTTTTTGTGTCTGCCAAAGAGTAAAATTCTTCTCCCAGCCTTTTAGCTACCAAGTAATTGGAATTTTGTTTTCTAATATGAGTCTCTTGCAAACAACTTACATTACATTTTTGTTTCTCCAACCAATGTCTTATAATTTTTCTTTTGTTAGGTGAGTTCAGTCCGTTTACATTCCAAGATATAAATTTGTACTCCATTGTCTTGTCTTCTTATTTATCTCCAAAGTCACTATCATTATCATGTAGAAATCTCAGCATGTCCGACGTTGTCTTTATCATCTGTCTCTGGCCCTGGAATTCAAAGCTCAAACCTTGCGGCATTTCCCATCTGAATCTTATGTTTTCTCTGATGCAGCTTATCTGTAAGCTTCTTGAAGTTTCTCCTGTCTTGCATTATCGCTCTGGGTAGCTCTTTCATTATAATTATCTTCTTCCCATCAATCTCCAGAGGGTCTACAAATTGCTTCTTAAAGATAATTTCTCTCATCCTTTTGGTCAATAGCTGAACAATAACATCCTTTGGCAGATTCTTTTGTTGTGCATAGGTTGAATTCACTCTATAAATCAAATCAAAGTGGTAGTCAATCTCTTCCACTTTCTCCTTGAGGTACTCAGCAATGGCATCAATTACTCTCTCTCTAATATCTTCGTTTAATAGTTCTTCAATTCCCCTAAATCTTAAATAATTCTGCGTAGCTCTAAATTCTCCCATTGTCTCCCGTTCTTTTGTTTTCTTTTACAACTGTTTCCACTTTTGCATTGATGCCCTGAATTTTCTGCTCTATTTCTGCAGACTTTTGTGAGGCTGCTTGAAATTCTTTTTTAATTTCTCCTACATCTTTTTTGATCTCGGCCACTTCTGACATCATCAATTCTTTAACTGAAACCACATTTCCTTGGATGACTTGGATCTGTTTTCCCAAATCTTGAATAGCATCAAGCATTCTCTTCTCCACTGCGTCCACAGCCGCCTGTATCTCTTTGTATTTAGCTTTGGCCATTCTTGGTGTCGAAAACGACGCCGCCCTTTGTCTCTGCCTTAACTCCACCTTAAATCACCTTCAGTTTTATATTCCAATAGTCCCTTATTTCATTCCCTTCTCAAATTTAAAAAAGTTTACAGTCAAATTTTTCAGTTGATCTTCTCTCTCTATCTCTTATCTTTATTTCCACCAAGCCACTCTCTATATTAAATTTCAGTTGGCAATCCAGTGACCCTTTGCTCCTAAGAACATCCAATGGCCAGTCTCCGCTATCCGTTCTTATGTAGACAGGCTTCTTTCGGCCACTTCTGGTCTCTCTCCTATAGTCCCGCCAACAGTCCTTCTGTTTCATCTCCAACTGGCACTGTTCAATAGATCTCTTAATGCCCAGCTGAACCGCTACTTTTTAAATCCTCTTCTTGTTTGTTTCGGCCCGAAAACAACAATTTACTTTTCAGTCCTCCCAAAGATGTCAGGCGCACGGATTCTATGGTTTCCGTTGGTAAAGATGTCCCTCTTTGCTGCTCTTCCTGTCTGTTGCTTGAAGATGTCCCCCGTCCACTTCCGCTTCTTACGTTTTGCTCCGTCTTGTGCCTGGTACCCCTTTTAACTTCCGGCTTTCTTCCGTTCCTCCAGCCGACTCTCCTCACTCACCCACACCTTTTCTATGGACAGCAGGGTTTCTTGCCCTCAGTCTTGCGATCTCACAAGCAAGTCTCTTTTTCTTATCACAGTTCGACCACAGGAATGTCAAACAATCGCCTTTTTCTTTAAATTTGCTTCGAACTGTCCACTTTCACACCATGCAAGTTCACTCTATCGGTCCCAAAATTTGCAATCTCTTCTCCGGTTATTTCACCATGCGCTCATCAGTCACCTCCGGTAAGATAAATGGACTTTCGTTACCTTCTTTGTTTATACTGGTTTCACGCTGTTTCTTTTACTGTCAATCCTTCCCCTTCTGTTGTAGAGATCGGGAATAGTGATTTTATGCTGTATACACAGCCCGGTAAGCTCCTTTAGTGGTAATTGCAACGCCCGCTTCATGGAAGGAGATCAAAGAGAAATCCGAGCCTCCTCCGAGGCTCAAATCTCTCCAATCTCGACTCCCCCTTGGGTCTTGCTGCTTGCCTGTTTCCCCCCTGCCTGGGAGAAGCTGCGTTGGGCTGATAAACTAGCTTTCTGGAGCCCCCGTCACCCTGAGCACTTTCAGGATGCGTCAAATCGCCATTTTCCTTCCGACCGGAAGCCCAATTTTCGCTTATTGCGTTTTGGGGTCACGGGAGATCTGGAGGCGCTAGGTGCTCTATTCCTAGTGCCCCTTTCCAGTGGAGACTCCTGTGATTTGTGGCCTTGTAATGTCTCCAGTATTAGATCTTTGAACTCCCTTCTCATTTCCCCTTTAAACCAGTGCATTATGTCCGGGTTAATGGCTTCTGTGGATTCCATGCCCCTAGTTTGGGAGTCTTGGCTGCCCTGGGATATTGAGGGCCTGGCCTGTGTGATGTCCCCCATGGGACTATCCTGGTCTGTCTTCTCTGGCCGTTGCACAACATGCCATAGCCCTCGCTGTGAGTTGTATGGCATCCAAAGAGGCTTCTGCCGCAAATGCTGTGGCTAGAGCTATCTGTTTTAGCTCATCCTTAAGGCTTTTTGGTATGTCACTGTCTACAGACGTTAGCTCTGAGGCCCACAGGTAGGCCACTTGAGCAAACAGGGATCCCATAGCTGATACTCTAAGGGTGGGGAAGAAGTAGGCTGTCTATTGTTGCTCCCTTTCCCGAAGGCCCAGCAATAAGGACTGTAAAATGTCCCTGCTAGAGACCTGACCCATGGACCAGAAGCAATTCGTCCTTTTAAAGAACCTCCCATCCAGATCCAGAGGAAAGGAGTAAAGGGCGGGGAAAAGAAAACGGGAGGAGGGGGGTAGTCCTCTTTCTCTCTCCCCTGCCTTCTCAGCCATTTTAGGGGAACCTGAAAGTGAAAGTAGCCACCATCACTCTCCTAACAGAGCCATGGAGCCTTACCCCACCCACATCAGCTGAATCAGGTGGGGAAGAAGTAGGCTGTCTATTGTTGCTCCCTTTCCCGAAGGCCCAGCAATAAGGACTGTAAAATGTCCCTGCTAGAGACCTGACCCATGGACCAGAAGCAATTCGTCCTTTTAAAGAACCTCCCATCCAGATCCAGAGGAAAGGAGTAAAGGGCGGGGAAAAGAAAACGGGAGGGGGGGTAGTCCTCTTTCTCTCTCCCCTTCCACACCTTGTCAGTTCTCAATGGATACAGTCCTACCATGGTTCAGCCGACCGGGTAGACTGCGCAGGAGACACGTCCCTCCTCGCCACGATCTGGAACAAGGAGGGGGCTCCATTCCAATGCCGAAAGGGACGGCGACAGAGATTCTACACCACCCTCGGCCGCCTCTCTTGCCTCTGCTCTCCCCAGGCTCTTCACTGAGCGTCTGTCCCCAAAACCGCTGCACGCCGCTGCGGCTGGATGGGGGGGGAGAGCAGTTTACCGCCGCCTTCCCACCAGGGTCCGAGGTGTTCCTCTTGGCGCCGCGACTGCCTGGGGGCCTCCCAAGACTGCTGGCACCGGATCCATTGTAATTCGAGGGCTGCAGCTATCGAATATGTTTAGGGCTTGAAGGTAAGTACCTTCTACCATTGCCCTTTAGGTCTCCGCTTCTTCTTCTGACCGGCTTCTGGGATCTTCGTGCTCTTCAGAGCACAGCCAGCACGTCCTACTCAGAAGGCAGAGCCGGTAAGACTGGGGATCAGAGGATAAGCCCCTCCCCTCTGGGATCAAAGTTTGCCGGCCCTGCCTATGGAAGGGGGAGGTGCTTTCCCAGGAGTAAGGAGTCAAGGACTGCTCCACTCCTGGACCCCCGGAGAATGGAAAAATTTGGAAAAAATGTTTTCCCCACAAGCCCTTTTCTTCAATTTATCTGACAGAAAAATCGGAAATTTGGGGGATTACTGGAAAAACAATAACCCTCATATTTTTTCTCTTAACATTGAGTGAAATGCTTTTAAAGACAAGACGGACATGCTGTAGACATATACCCTGTGGAGTCAAAATTTCTGGAAATTTTACATCTCTAGTTCGGCATCAGGATGCCAACAGTGGCTAGTCAGATAACTGGGCACCAAAAGCCAATCTGAATAAAAATACCTTTCATCATTTCCAGAAAACATGCAGTGGAAACTCTTGTATCAAGTCCCTATAGTTAGACAGCCCCCACCTATACACAAGGTGTTCTACCCAAACCTGATACACATACTGATAACTTTCAAATATCCAAACTTTTTACCTGATGAACCATTAAAGACTGGACCTGTCGTTTGAGAACCTGCATCCGTGCTGTGGTGACCACTGATCGGACATCAGGCACTACGCTTTCGCTCAGGATCTCACTGATTAAACGGTGGTTTCTTTGGAAACGGGCCGTAGCTGTGTGTTTCATAGAAAATCCATCATCGTAATCTGAAACAAACACAGCAAATTAGAGAAGGCATAAAAACATCTCGCACGCTGCTGCCATTGCTTAGCTTTAGAGGGAAGACTGGCCACATTGACCTCAACCTTCTATTCCTGCTCTCGCTACCTGCCACTAACACGCCATTACCAGACAATTTCAAACACTATGAAATCTTGAATCTTAGAAGCAAACCTAAGCAAAAATACACTCTTAAAATAGACAATTGAGAAACTGTAAAAGCGTTCTCTTTCTATGTTTCATTTTTATCCTGCCCATTCTCCAACAAGCTCAGAGCAGCATACGTGGTTCTTTCCTCCTCTAGAGTAGGCTGACAGCAAATGACTGGCCTGAAAGCACCCAGTGAACTTCAAGACAAACAGGAATTTGAACCCAGTCCACCTCGGTAACCACTATGCTGCATTGGGACTTCAAAAATTAGCTTTCATTTGAAAACAGATTTAAAGGAATAAGAAAATGGACATTTCTCATACTCAATTAAAGAAAGAGTCTCTTTACTACTTTATGCAGCTAGAAATACCATTGCATTAACATGGAAATCAACAAAGCCTCCTACACTCACACAATGGCATCAAAAACCATGGAACTTATATATCATGGCGAAACTCACAGACAATCTGGACACTATGACTAGGCCTTCTCAACACTCCTATTTTTCCTCTATATGCTTCCCTATACTTGAATACTTGTCTTCTCAAAATGAAATTCCTCAATTAGTGATTGATAGTGGTTTATGATGGTTTTCAATGCTTGAGTATTGTATGATCAGCTATTCTTTATTAATAGTTCAGTTTTAATGGCTCTCGTTCGTTTATTCAGTGGACTGTTACTGTATTATATCCGTGTTCTGGTTTACAGATTGTATTTTTCCTGCCCAGTATTATTGTGTTATGTCTGTTTAAATGCAGTTTCTGATATAAATTCATGGATAACTTTATTATTCCATACCAAATACATATGTACATCAGCTTCTCTTGAAAACCTCGAAACCACCATCATCAGTCAATTTATTTTGATGCTTAAAAAGTCTTAGAGCAAGGATGTTTTTCCTAATGTTACCCTAATTTTCTCTCTCTGATTATTACAAAAATCTGTAGTTCTATTTTACTTTCCAACATTCTATAGAAGTTTAATTATATATTTTAATGTTTTATATCCTCTAGTCACTTTGAGAAGCTGGTGGGCAGGAAAATGAGATTATTTTTACAATTAAGCAAAAAAATAGTTCAAGCATTTCAGATCCTTTAGGCTGGACCCTATGAATCTGTTCTGGTGGAAGCAATGCGCTCTAATAACAATTAAGTGCCATCAAACTGCAACTGACTTTTGGTGACCCCTCGTGGTGTTTTCAAGGTGAGAGACGAACAGCAGTGGTTTTGCCATTGCCTTCCTCTGCATAGCAACCCCAGTCTTCCTTGGTGGTCTCCCATCCAAGTACTAACCAGGGCCGATCTTGCTTAGCTTCCCAGCTCTGACAATCTGAAGCTATTAAGCTTTATTAACTGTTGTCATATTTGGGTGGGGTGGCTGGCTGGCTTAGAGAAGAGTGGCTTCCCTCAAGCCATTCAGTGGGTTTCTGGGTGAACTGAGATTTGCAGTCATGCCTTCGATTTGCAAAATCTCAAACCATTTGGTAACTCTACCAAGACCCGACAAACAAAGTGACTGAGCTGAAAGTGCCTTTTATCAAATTCACACTGCGACCCCACCCTGAATTTTTTAGAAGGGGGATATAGGAAGGATTTGTTTTTGTAACACAGTGTATGGTATGGCCACAACTGTAAACATGTAAAGGAAGAAACTCCTTGGAGAAGTTTTGAGGACAGGGGAGTTGCTGATATTGATAAAATTATGTTTTTAAATATTAACAGTGGCCAGATTTGCTGTTTGAGCACAAATACTCAGGAAAGCTGGCCATGATAAAGGACAAAAACGGTAGGGACCTAACAGAAGCAGAAGAGATTAGGAACAGATGGCAAGAATACACAGAAGAACTATACAAGAAAGACCTCGATGTCCTTGACAACCACGATGGTATAATCACTGACCTCGAGCCAGACATCCTGGAATGTGAAGTTAAGTATAATCACTGACCTCGAGCCAGACATCCTGGAATGTGAAGTTAAATGAGCCTTAGAAAGCATTACTAACAACAAAGCTAGTGGAGGTGATGGTATTCCAGCTGAGCTATTCAAAGTCTTAAAAGATGATGCTGTTAAAGTGCTGCACTCAATTTGCCAGCAAATTTGGAAAACGCAACAGTGGCCACAGGATTGGAAAAGGTCAGTATACATTCCAATCCCAAAGAAGGGCAATGCCAAGGAATGTTCAAACTATCGCACAATTGCACTCATAGCACATGCTAGCAAGGTCATGCTCAAGATCCTACAAGCTAGGCTTCAACAGTACGTGGATAGAGAACTGCCAGAAGTACAAGCTGGGTTTCGAAGAGGTAGAGGAACGAGAGATCAAATTGCCAACATTCGCTGGAGAAAGCAAGAGAGTACCAGGTACCAGAAAAACATCTACTTCTGCTTCATTGACTATGCTAAAGCCTTTGACTGTGTGGATCACAACAAACTATGGCAGGTCCTTAAAGAGATGGGAGTACCAGACCACCTCACATGTCTCTTGAGAAACCTGTATAAGGGCCAAGAAGCGACAGTTAGAACCGGATACGGAACAACTGATTGGTTCAGCATAGGAAAAGGAGTACGACAAGGATGTATATTGTCGCCTTGCTTATTTAATATATATGCAGAGTACATCATGCGAAATGCTGGCCTGGATGAATCACAAGCGGGAATTAAGATTGCTGGGGAAAAGATCAACAACCTCAGATATGCAGACGATACCACTCTAATGGCAGAAAGTGAAGAGGACCTAAAGAGCCTCTTGCTCAGGGTAAAAGAGGAGAGCGCAAAAGTGGGCTTGAAGCTCAACATCAAAAAAACTAAGATCATGGCATCCGGCCCCATCACTCCTTGGCAAATAGAAGGGGAAGCTGTGGAAGTAGTGACAGACTTCACGTTCCTGGGATCCCAGATCACCGCAGACTGTGACTGCAGCCATGAAATTAAAAGACGCCTGCTCCTTGGGAGGAAAGCGATGGCGAACCTAAACAGCATGATAAAAAGTAGAGACATCACCCTGCCAACAAAAGTCCGCATGGTCAAAGCAATGGTATTCCCAGTAGTCATGTATGGCTGCGAGAGTTGGACTATAAGGAAGGCCGAGCGCCGAAGAATAGATTCTTTTGAGTGTCATAGATGCAACGAACATGAAATTGAGCAAACTTCAGAGGACAGCGGAAGACAGGAGGGCCTGGCGGGATCTGGTCCATGGGGTCGCGAAGAGTCGGACTCGACTGTGCGACTGAACAACAACAACACTCAGGAAAGAATTTGTCATGGGACTGCCAAGCTGACATGCTGCATTAGATTTTTAAATTATTTCACACTGCTTTCAGTGTTATTTTATTTATTTCCACCCTGCTGTCTTAATCATACATTCCAAAGGCTTAGACAGGCACAACTGTCCTTTCTAATAAAATAACAAAGCACTGCCTTTCTCACAATACAAGAACTCGTGGGCACGCAATGAAATTTCTGAGTAGTCGGGTTAGAACGGATAAAAGGAAGTACTTCTTCCAAAGAGTGATTAACACATGGAATTCACTGCCACAGGAGGTGGTGGTGGCTACGGGCATGGATGGCTTCAAGAGGGAATTGGAAAAACATATGGAGCAGAGAGCCATCAGTGGCTATTAGGTATAGATAGGAACTCTCAGTCTGGGGCAAGTGATGCTCTGTCTTCTTGGTGCTTGGGGAGGGGGCACTGCTGGACCTCCTGATGGCACCTGGTGTTTTTGGCCACTGTGTGACAGAGTGTTGGACTTGATGGGCCATTGGCCTGATCCAACATTGGCTTCTCTTATGTTATATTCACTCACAAGAAAAAACAAAACAAAAATAACTAGAAGACAATAATTTAAAACTCCAATAAAAGCTGCGAATTGATTAAAAATTATATTGCACTTCTCCAAATTAGAATAGCAACAGCTTAATTAACAGCAATTAAAATAGCCCACAATAGTAGCAAGTCAAGATCTCTGGTAACATTAAGCAGCAAAGAATATAAAAATCAACAATAAAAGTCATCTTAGGCTCTGGTCACACCTGGGGGGAAAGGCGCGGCTAAAGTGCAGCTTTTTAGAACCGCAACAAAAGAGAACTGCGGCGGCGGGATCAAACAGATCCCCCAAGCCGCCACGCAGTTGCTCCCCGGCATGATCAGATGTCGGGGGGGGGAGGAGCTACGGACAGGAGAGGAGGCGAGCCTGTTGCGCATGCACAGTTCAATAGGGCCTCGGATGGTGCGGGGAGATGGGCGCGTTGGCGATCAGATGCCCGCCTGTGCTGCGCGTCAACCAGTAGGTAGTACTGTTTTGGTGCTACCTTTTTGATGTGCGGTTTCGCCCGGAAGGGACGGATCAGGGACGGGTGCGCTCCGCTTCCCAGATGTTACAGTATGATAGTGCCTGCTTGATGCGCCCCCGATCCGTCCCTCTCCCGTGGCAAATCCTCCCGTGTGACCGGGGTCTTAAAATCATCATAACAGGAAGTAAACACATAACTAGGAAAAGGCCCAGGTGAATGAAAATATCTTTACCTGGCACTAAAATCTTGCACATTAGGCAAGAACTAAATGTCTACAGGGAGGGTATTCTGAAGAAGAGATAACCACAATACAGAAGGCCCTGTTTTCCATGGCAACCCTCTTGATCTTAGACAGAGGAAATACATACACCATAGATACTGAAAGTGATCTAAGTTGATGGGCAAGATGGTGTGACAGGCCACCCTTTATACATTCTGACCAATGCTCCCTCTAAGCTGTGAAGTCTTGTGAACAAAAATTCAACTTTGTGAGCTACCGGCATTACAGTTGTGAACAAGCGATTTGTCTGCTGCATAAATTAGCTTGC